TCTGAGGCAGGCGAAGCAAAAGATGCAGGAACCTGAGGATGATTTGGCAGAGCCATGGCAGCATGATTCTTTCTGAGGGGCCATGAGGTTTGTTGCGATGCCAGGATTCATCGCAGTGCGTCTCTACGGCTCATTCATAAGGACTTTGAAGCACACTCTGCGATCTTCTGCCGCAATGCGAGAATCTGGTCCGTCTGCGAACAACCTTTGGGTTCCTGGCTGCCTGGGTGGCCTGCAATGGAAGATCCATGTCTGCAGAAGACTGCGGCCGTACGTGCCGGCTTTACGGTTACGTTCGTTATTAACTGAGCCTGCAGCAGGATGCCTGGACTACGTGTTCCCAGGAACGGGCGACGTTGAAGCTGGGCGCTTTCGGCTTCGAAGCCCCGTGTCTGGGCTTCCTTACTGACAGGCTACTGACTTGCATGGGTGCATTATCAATGTCATGTTACTCGAGGCAGCCCTTCCAATTGATCGGCAACGACAAATTTTTATTGAGATCCTTCAAGTTCTTGGAGAAGCATCATCTCATGCAGAGGCTGCCGCCTGCAGGCAAGAGGGTTTAACCGACTGGTAGAAAAAGAAGGAGAGAGCCTGTGCTGCGTCCAGTGTGGATAAAACTCAGGTTTCTGGCAACGGCAGACTTGCCCAACCAGTCCGCAACTTACATGGCAGTGACGGACAAGCGGCGGCACTCGCGGACCTTCGACGAAGCAGCCACTCGGTTTGCAATGCTTGCTTCTTCGCACACATCAACATTTGGGAAAGTGCTGTCTAACCTTGATCGCCAGGTCGTTTCTCTGCAAAGACTTCGCAGCAGTATGTCACCTTCGCGATTGAGGCTATGTTTACAGGATCGTTTGGAGGATCTTGCGGTTCGGCTTGTGGAGCAGGACAGGTCTCATTTTACAATCGGCTTTGTGCCTGGATTGATCGGTTTGGGACAGAAGAGACTTACTACGGCAATGTCTTGGCGCCCATCACTCTGCCAGGACCTGGACCACAGGCTGCAAGGAAAAACTGCTGCCGACTTGGAGCCTGCGCGTTCGCGACCTCGCCTTGAGCTGGTTCTACAGGACCACGGAAAAGTGAAAACATGCATCACGGCACACTAGTAGAATGCTTTCCTCCTTCTAGGAAACTGACTTGGCAGCTCCGTACGACGCCCTGCCTCGCCTTCGTCGTATGTTGAGGCACATCCCGGAGGCCATTCTATATTTGATTCTTGCGGATGGGAGGGGGGTGGTTTCAATCATGTGGCAATTTCGCACAAAAGTCAGAGACTGATCTGGGAAGCAGGACTTGGAGGAGGAGGAGCAGCAGTGATCGGCGAAGTTTTCTCTGGTCTTCGTCTTCGTCTTGGGGTAAGAAGACGATTGCTGCTGTGAAGGCATATCCTTCTCACTGAGAAGGTGAGAGTAGAGTAGCATGTCTTGCTACTTTAGTTCCGCACGATCTGTCGGATGTCTCACACAGAGCAGCTGTGGAGAAGGGGAGTCCGGGATCTTCGAAAAGGGTGCCGTCCAGAACATCTGAGAGCTGCATGCAGGAAGACACAGTGTGTTGTCCGAAGCTCCGCTTAACTTGTCTTGCGATGCCAAGGCACTCAAGCCCTAGAAGGACATCGCCAACCGAGGCATGCAGGCCATGCGGTGCAGGACTGTGTGCCGGCTCGGTGGATGTCCTGATAGGATACAGGATCGGAAGCCGGTGCACAGCTTGCCAGAGTGCCAATTGAAGCTTTTGTGTTGTGAGAAGTAGCCCCCTCAAGCAGGAACAGACGTATTCCAAACAGAGGCCGGACAGTTGGGGCAAAGCCTGGCTGTATGGCAAAGCTGGGGTAAAGCATGTTTCGAGAGTACTAGTAAAGTCTGTTGTGCCAGGGAGACCCTAACTTTAAAAATTCAATACATTACATGAGCAGAACCACAGGCAAACGCCAATTCAAGCTTTTCAGGCAGGCAAAAGTTGTTTTCGGCTTCCCGAGACAGGTTTTGTGGCACTCTAGAAAAGGCAGGCTGGGCAGTGGAGAGAACCGTGTCAGTCTCGATAAATTGAAATCAAAAGTTTGCTTGGCATCCAAACAAGTCGGAGGCTGGGAGAGTGGGCACGAAAGTCAGTTGTTGCTTTGTCACTTTGCGAGACTGCCAATTCAAGCTTTTCAGCTTGGCAAAAGTTGTTTTCGGCAGCCCCGGGCATGTTGTAATGTATTCCGTCGAACAAAGACAGCCTGAGAGGTTTGGTTTTTATCAAAGAAAGAACACTGTACTAGGGAGATATGCAGCAAAAGAGCAGGCTGCGAAGTTGCGGATTCAAGTAATCCTGGCTTTGCTGTGTGAGACTGCCAATTCAAGCTTTTGGGGTTCCGAAAAGTCGTTTTCGGCTTCCCCCAACAGGAAAGGACGTCTTCCAAAAGCACAGGACAGACAGCTGGAACAGTATGGCAAAAGCACAAGAGGTATCCTTGTTGTGGCCGGGAGACCTTAACTTTAATTAAGTACATTACATCAGCACAACCATAGGGAAATGCCAATTCAAGCTTTTCAGGGTAGCAAAAGTTGTTTTCGGCTTCCTGGGACAGGTTTTGCTTTACTCCAGAAAAGGCAGGCTGGGCAGTGGAGAGAACCGTTTCAGTTTGGGGTTAGTAATAATTTGAAACCAAAAGACTGCTTGGCATCCAACCAAATCGGAGGCTGGGAGAGTGTGCACGAAAGTCAGTTGTTGGTCTGTAACTCTGCGAGACTGCCAATTCAAGCTTTTCAGCCTGGCAAAAGTTGTTTTCGGCAGCCCCGGGCAGGTTTTAATGTATTCCGTCGAGCAAAGACAGACTGGTCGCGTGAGACCGTACAGGCTGAGTTGTTTTAAGCAAAAGAAGATCTGGTCAGAAAGCAGGTTTTGAAGGTTTTTTCCTGGCTCTGCAACTGCACAAGACTGCCAATTCAAACTTTTCGGGCTGGGAAAAGCTGTTTTCGGCATTCTCCGAGGCATCTGGAAGTATTCCAAGCCAAACACAAGCTGTTCTGTTGTCTAGCACCCCAGGTTTTCATGGGGACCTACCAAATTGCCTGAAGCTGGGAGAAGAACGATTTAAGCTTTTGGGGCTGGGAAAAGTTGTTTTCGGCATCCTCGGCACGATCTCGAGTGGGGCCAGCGGGGCTCGCAGGAAGCCTTGGCGGGGTTCAGAGCAAGCCTTCGCAGGGTTCGCAGGGTTCGCCGGGCCCTTCCGGGAAGCCTTCGCAGAAGGGCCTTGTGTCGGAGAATTTCGCCGGAGAGGGTGCAGAATTCGATCGCAATCGGGCTCGCCTTCGCAGGGCCCTTCCCTTGACTTGGGCAAAGAGAAGAGCAGGGTTCGCAGAAGGTTCGCGGAAGGTTCGCGGAACCAGGGTTCGTGGCTGCGGGGGCCCTTCGTTACGAACCCTGCCCGGGTTCGCGGAGGGTTCGCTCCGAACCCTTCGGAGGTTCGCAGGAGGCCTTCGCAGAAGCTGCCCGCGAGAGGTTCGCAGCTCGCATTCGGGGTTCGTGGAGTGGTTTTGGGTGCAAGATCCGGTCAGGGGGGAAAAGTAAAGTATACAAAGGTTTGGGTAAGCCAAAGCCTGTGATTTGGTAGTCGTAGTATTAGTAGTAGTAGTAGTAGTAGTAGTAGTAGTAGTAGTAGTAGTAGTAGTAGTAGTAGTAGTAGTCGTACTAGTACTACTTGTTGTCCCACGAGTGCTTGAAAGTACGACTATTTTCTTCCTGTAGTAGTATAAAAAGTAGTACTTGCAGAAGACCTTACCAGGAAAATATTCTATTTCGCAAAATGCAGGAACTTCCGCTGCTGGTGCAGTGCCTGTACGAGGCCACCTGGGCCACAGTTGATCGGTGCTGCCCGTGTGTCTGTGTTTATGCGTGCACTGTTTGTGTGTGTGTGTGTGTGTCCGTGTGTGTGTCCGTCTTTGCATGTGTCTGTGTCTCCGACATGAACTGTGCAAGTGCAGGCATTTGTTGCAGTACCTCATGAGGAGGCCGGCCGGTTTTCTCACATGTTGTTGGGTCGCCGTCCTGTGCTGTGGCGCATGTTGCCGTCATTGCTTGAAGAGCACCGGTGGCATGAGTGCATGTTGTGTGATGCAGTGGACATTCCGAATCGTTTCACGTCGCCTGGTGCAGCCTATAACGTTCACTGAACATTAAAGGACATGCGGGCAACGGGTGCCGGCATAGTCACAGTCCTGAGCTCAGTTCGTTGAATGCACAGTTTTGCGAGTTCGGGAAATTGAAGGCAACCGCCCACAGCACGTGCACTGGGTTTCTGTGAAATGTGCGAGGGTTTGCAGCAACGTACCTGTGCCCCTCTTTAGTTTCAAGCAGCTTCTTTGATGAGGATGGGCAAGCGGGTCTGGATTCTGAGTCCCTGCCGCTGTGCCAGGTGTGTCGTCTTCGCCTTCGTCCACCGTGTGCAGTGCCGCAGCGAGGTGCCCACAGCAAGTTCACAGAGGTTGCTCCCAGAGTTCATGACCTCATGAGCGTGGCTGCCATTGGTCTTAGTCTGATTTGAGGTGGCAACTCAGCAACATCCGACATGAGGAAATCACTACTTCTGCCATTTTGCTCAGAATGCAAGAGACATGCACGGACAGGGTCCAATGCAACAAAAAGGAGACATGCTGCCGACAGGTGCTACATTATATTCTACTGTCATAGCAGGAACTACACTGTAAGTGCATGTGAAGTTGATAAGTACTTGGTTTTTATCCTCAATCCCTTCCTTCGCAGAGGTCAGGTCTATAACACAAACCCGGACTTCCAGAACCTGGACACAAATATAAGCTTCCAATTGCCAAGATCCTCCATCCCTTCCTTCACTTTTATATAGCAGAGGTCAGGTCCTTATTAGAACACAACCCGGACTTCCCGAAGCTGGGCACAAATATAAGCTTCCAATTGCCAATTCGGCCGCCATAGCCGGTCCAGTGCCGCTCCGTATAGCCGGTCCATTGCCACTCCGCTCTCCCTGAGACATGTTCGAAAACAGAGGGCATGACGGGCAAGACTCTGGCGGGGTCATCGTCCCCTTCGGAGCGGAATTCAACTACCCGAGCATGAGCAACTTGGAGGCAGTTGGAGCAAGCAAAGAGGGATTGTTCATCATGCACTTTCAACGTCTGCTCTGTCAGCTGAGGTAACAGACAAGGACCAGGCAAGGGCAGAGACGTCATGGCTGGGTACCTTGGCTAAGGCAAGAGCGAACATTTGGGAATTTGGCATTAGCTTTTCCAGCTAAGGTATTGCCACGAGTTCTACAAAGGCTACATTCACACGACTTGGGACGTCCGCGGAAAGTGGCCGAAAAACGTGGCAGACAGCAAAGGGAGACACATGTCCCCCGACAGTCACTTGGCTCCTTTGAAATACTTTGAGTTTTCTTTCGTCTTCGCCTTCGGTACCCCCTGACCTTGTATGCTGAGATGCCGTCGCCTTCGCCTTGGAGGAAGAAGACCAGGGCCCGGAGGGAAAGCCGAACCCCCTCATCAACCAGAAGTTTTTGTTGAGAATGATGAAGGAAGGTTTTGACGCCTTTGTTGCTGGATTGGTCTTCGTCTTCGGTCTCCGAAGTGGCCATTCCCCGGACGACTGGCACTGCGTCGCCTTGGCCTGTTCCTTTGCTTACATTTGAAAACGGTCCGTTTTTTGTCGCTTGCTTCTGGCACCGTCAGATTGGACCCAGCAGACTGAGGCTCAGCAGGATGCCATCGCTCGCTGAGCATCGCCATCGTCTTGGCCTTCGTCTTCGGCATGTCGCTTTGGGCGCCTTCGCTGAAGAAGGGTTTCGACGACCCGGCGAAGATCCCGGTGCTGGAGGCTGCTCTGGGACGCAAAAACGGCAGCCTCTTGCTGGAGAGGATCAAGGAGCTCTGCGAACATGCAGAGCTCAAGCCATTTGTCAGAAGTAACATTAGAGGATTGTTTGGTAATTTTTGGTTGCCAGTGGCCCACTGGGTCTGTACTTATTTTTGCTTGTTGACATAAGGATCCTCTCCAGTTGCAACAGCATCGGGATATCGCCTTCGTCGTCTTCGCCTTCGACTTCGAAGTCGCCGCCTTCTTCGTCTTCGAAGGAGCTGCCGAAGCAGAAGACCCCACTGCCCAAGGCGCGGCCGATCAAGAGGAAGCCTCCCGCTCCGGCTTCGTCTTCGAAGGAGCCGCCCAAGCAGCCCGATGGACCAAAGAAGAAGCGCCGGCAGGATGATGATGACCAGCAGCACCACGCCTCCTCCCGCCAGCTCGCCTTCGCCGTCGACGACTCCGAGCCCGAGGCTGTGGAGAATCCCGTCATGAAGCGGGCAACCTGACCTGATAGATGTTTTTGGGTTGTGTTCGTTGGTCCTTCCAGTTTAGGTGTAGCTTCTTCCCATTGAAGTCAAGTCAGGTCAGAACCAGAGTCTTGGACCTGGCTCCCAGCCTCTTCAGGGTGTTGGAGGATCTCGGCGTCGACGAGGAGGCGTGGTGCTGCATGGAGGCCTTGGCGTCGCACCCCAACCCCCAGGGGTTGGGGTTCGCCTTGGACTTCGTCGCCACTGGCATGAGCGGCCTGACAATGAAGTCCATCAGGCATTCTCGTGTCTTTTTCGGTATTGGTGGCTACTAATCAAACTTCTAATTAACTTCTCCCAGATCCGAGGCGCTCTCCACGATCCTCATGCCGGATGGGACAATCCCAGCGCCGTGGCAGTCGACCACTGCAGAAGGCGATCGCGGATTCTCTCAGGCTCTTTGGATTTGTCGAATCGGCAGAAGCTTTTTCAGATGTTTCTTAAAGTTAAGATTCACAAATTTCTAGCCTAATTCCCAACCTGCCTGAGGCCATGAAGACCTCCCGGGCAACTCCAACAAGGGTTCTGTGCCTTGCCACTACATGAGAACCGTTAGGGTACGGGTTACCCTGCTACTTTCTTGGAGCGTCGCACAGTGACGTCAAGTTTTTAAACCCCCTGCAGGGCGCTGGTCCTTGGTACCAAAAAGGAAAGGGCAAAGGTGGCCAGCAAGGCAAACGCCGTGGCAAGAAATGAGTGCCAGGATTAGGAAGCTTGTCCCAAAGTCTTCCGCAATCAGGCTTTTTGCTCTGCGGTCGCGGCATGGCATCAGAGTACCTATTAACAACAAAGTCTTGATCTAACAGTCTTCGCCTTCGCCTTCGACCGAAAGAGCCGTCTGCCTGCACATCAACTCTGCTGCGTGCACCCAAAAGAAGTCGGAAGCTCTTCCAAAATCTTCCGCTAGTTCAGGCTTTTTGCTCTGCGGTCGCGGCATGGCATCAGAGTACCTATTAATAATAAGAAACTCTTGATCTAGCAGGCTTCGCCTTCGCCTTCGACCGAAAGAGCCGTCTGCCTGCACATGAACATCTGCTGCGTGCTGCAGAAAGGAGTCGGAAGCTCTTCCAAAGTCTTCCGGTAGTTCAGGCTTTTTGCTCTGCGGTCGCGGCATGGCATCAGAGTACCTAGTTAGTAATAACATACTGTTGATCTCACAGTCTTCGCCTTCGCCTTCGACCGAAGAGAGCCGTCTACCTGCACATCAATTCTGCTGCGTGCAGGCAAAAGAAGTCGGCCTGGATTCACACTTGTGCTGCCATGACGACCCCTGAAGCACTGCGGCCTCATGCTGTTAAGTTGTCGCGTGGCCAGGTGCTGAGCTGCAGATTCCAGTTTGGATGCACGGAGCCTCAGGGACCGAAAGGACCATTGCAGAATCATTCATGTCTCGAAGTTTTTTTTTAAAAATTAATCTTGTCTAATCCCAGCAAGGCCAAAAATCTTGCAAAATAGAGAAAGAAAGCCCGTTTGCTTAGAGCCCCAAAGCGTAAAAGCTCTTTCATTGTAATCTGCAAACCCCCTGCCTAAACCCAGCCTTACAGCAGGAGCTCAGGGTTCAAGACATTCCCAATACACTAAATCAAGGGCTGCCTACTAGTCAAACTGGCACAATGGATATGGCGTTGGCTTCTGTGGCTGGACGGAGCTAGAGTGGCACAGATGCACTTTTCCACAGGGCAGGATTAAGAACTGAAGCCATGAGAAATATATCAAGGTTTCGGACTCGGGCTTTTTTCATTTAAGGAGGTTTTCGGCTTAAGATTTCATTCAGGATGCAACTCTTCAGCTGTTCTTGCACTGGCATGTGACCAGCAGTGTTCAAGATCCAGAGATGTACCTTCCACTTGACTATGGAGTCTGAAAGACTGTTGAGTATGGAGTCTGAAAGACTGTCCGTTAAGCCTAGGGCCTAAACTGATTCAAAGTGGACACAATATAGCTACCCTGCCTTGCCAGGCGACTTCATGCAATTCTATGGCATCGGTGCCAGGTGCTTGCAGAAGCGAGTGGGGGCATTGAGCAATTCTCGGCCATTCCTTGTTTCCGGTAAGCAAGCATGTCCGTTAAACTCTGTCATGCCGTCAGTATGTTAGCTTGTGGCACTTCAGTTGTCTGACTCTGCGAAAGGGCCGGCCGCCAAGTAGTGTTTACAGACACTCGCGTCTCCTGCATGACATGCTCCTTTGCAGAAGTTGAGTCCCGCCAGTGTGGTTCTTGAACAAGTCACAGCTCACAGACTAAGCGGTTCATGCTCTGTCTGTCACCTCCACCTCCCCATGCCCTCAGCAGCCCGATGATTGCTGGTTTTGCCGAGGCTCGTCGTGGCTGCACCGCTCTAGCAGGACCTTGCATTGCCGCTCCTGAGTTGGATTCCTTAGGAGCCATAGTGTCATTCATTCCCATTGCCTGTGACACGAGTGTTTGCATCTAAGACAGGAACCATTGCATGAAAGAAACAGGCATGCAGTGACAGTGATGCTGGGTTTCCGAAAGTACTCACAGTTGACTTGGCCGTATGCTGACTGACCACCGTGTGTTGCTGTCGCTGTGTCATGTGGCGAAAAGGAAGAAGAGGACAGAAGCCCCAGTGTCCTGTCATAGGAGACTCTAGACATTGATGTAAATCACACATTTATATAATATACTTTCGGAACCTCAGTCCTGCTCAAGCTTGCAGCAACCTGTCTCACTCGCCTTCGAAGGCGTTACCGATTAGCTTTCAGACTTCCCTGCATCTTCAGGTTCCGGTTAAACCGGAACTTGGCCTTGGACTTCCGCCCATGGCTGCCGAAGCTCCACCGGATCCTCGACTCGACCCCGGATGTCGCAAAATCTCTGAGAGAGGTTTGTTCCAAGTTGCTGAGAATAACCAGGGCCGGGGGCTCCTGGTTCACAAAAAAACCGGTGAGCGACATGTCGTCTTCGACTTCCGTGACATTCATGTTCACGAGGACCGTGCATTTGTGAGGCTCAGGAACGGTGACAAGCGGTGGCTAGACAAAATCTTTTCGTGGGCTCTGTGGTCTGTCACAGAGAGCGAAAAAGAGTTCGTCATCAAAACTGGTGAGAACGGGAACACCATCGTCTGGCTTGCAGATTTCCTGAAGAAGCGGCTCATACTGCATCCGCGAGCCGGGGGGGACTCTCGGCAGCATCTGGTCAAGCGTCTGAGCAAGTGGGTTTGACATGAGCTCAAGCAACAGTACTCTAGAGTTGTACAGGCTCTGAGCGGCTCATCAGTTCTGCAACAACACGTTTTTCGTACTACTAGTACTTTACTAGGACTAGTACTAGTAGTACTACTACTACTACTACTACTACTACTACTACTACTACTACTACTACTGTTACTAGTAGTACTACTACTACTACTACTACTAGTACTAGTACTAGTACGACACAACAACAACTACTACTAGTACTAGTACTAGTAGTAGTGCTAGTACTGCTACTGCTAGTGCTACTACTACGAGTACGACTAGTACTACTACTACTACTACTACTTCTACTACTACTACTACTACTACTCTTACTACTACTGCTATTACTAGTACTAGTACTAGTACTACTACTAGTACTACTACTACTACTACTACTACTACTACTACTACTACTACTACTACTACTACTACTACTATTACTACTACTAGTACTACTACTACTACGCAACAGGAGCTTCTGTGATCCAGTCTTGCTTGACTTCATGGAATGCTTTGCCGCCCTACCAAAACGTCCTCTTGGCGCTTCAGTAACAGAGGGCGTTCGCACCGCTGGCCGGGTGTGGGGCCCAGGCAAAGGGAATGCGGTCTGAGTCTCGGCTTGGAATGTCCTGCAACCCACGCCCCAGGGCCAAACAGCCTTGCGCCGGGCTGTCGCAGGGCGATGCGCTAATGCGCCTGCGGGGGCGTGGGTAGGCAGACCAGCCGTCAGTACCGGATCCTGGGAGGCATTGGGAGGCCACTTGATTGTCACAATTCATGATTGCTCTGCTTGAGTGGCGTTCGTCTTCTTGCCTTACCTGGGGAGTCAAGTGTCCCCTGGTACATTGACTAGCCTTCGTCTTGGTCGCCTTACCTGGGGAGTCAACCCCTGCCCCATCATCTGGGTTGCTCCCCACACCATTGGCCGGGTGTGAGGCGTTCGGCTTTGCCTTGAGGCCAACCTACCCCACGGCAGGGGGGTAGATGACAGCCGGGCATATGGGCTAATGCGCCGTGCTGGGGCAAAACTGGTTTAGCTGGTTTGGCCAGGCCAGACTCCAGACAGTCCGAACAAGTCAGGGAGGCCGCTCGTTGTTGTGACATGACATGGCTGTGTTGAGTGACCTTGGCTTGTGCTGCTTGCGCATGGTTTAATTTGCAGTTTTAGAAACTATTATTACTACTATGATGTTGTAGTGTGAGGGGTGTGGGTTGAGGTTAATGTGTGACAGTCGCAAGAGGTCGCCTGAAAGCCTCAAAGGGTGGCATGCTGTGTCCCCTTTCGCCCTCAAGCCGACGTCTAACCTGCCATGCGGGTCTTCGGACATGCCAAGCGGGAGCCAAAAATTACTACTACTACACCTACTTCTAGTACTGCTACTAGCGTGGTAGTACTAGTAGTAATAGTAGTAGTAGTAGTAGTAGTAGTAGTAGTAGTAGTAGTAGTAGTAGTAGTAGTAGTAGGAGTAGTAGTAGTAGTAGTAGTAGTAGTAGTAGTAGTAGTACTAGCCACAGGACTAGTAGTAGCCACAGGACAGCATGACTACAAGAGATAAGACGGTGAGAGGACCCTTCGTGTCGGGGATATTTCGCAAGAGATCGCCTTGTTGCTCTAAGACTGACAAGGCCATAAGGCCCCATAGTGCTTTCTTTTTGTGGTTCCTATTAAAGATCCTATAATCCCAACGAGGAGCTACTATGGACGGAGAGACAAACAGCACGATTGCAAGCAAGAGAGCGACATAGACAGACAGCGACAGAGCTACGGAGATGGAAAGAGAGAGAGAGAGAGAGAGAGAGAGAGAGAGAGAGAGAGAGAGAGAGAGAGAGAGAGAGAGAGAGAGAGAGAGAGAGAGAGAGAGAGAGAGAGCGAGAGAGACTTTCGTTGACTTGTCCATTGGCATGGCATGTTTGTTCTTGGCATGAGCTTGACCTTGCTTGCTTTGTCGTTGTCCTTACCCACGCAGAACATGCGAGACACCGTTGGCCGGGTGTCGGGACTGAAGTGCCATACGTTCCTGCTTCTGGCCAACCCACTTCGGTGGATGACAGCAGAGCACATGGGCTAATGCGTCTGCTGGGCAGGATCCTGTGCTCACCCGTTCGGTAACCCTCTCCCCCTGACCGTGCGGCCGGCGGTCACGTAGGGGTGCTTGCTTGCCGAGCGGGGACAGCCCAGTGCCTTGGCGCCCACTTGGGGTGGAACTGGGCGAGGGTTGCACAGTGCCTTCAGATTGCAGGGGAGGCCGCAAGAGAGACAAAGAGAAGGAAAGAGAGAAAGAGAGAGAGAGAGAGACAGAGCCACAGAGTGAGAGAGACAGCGTGACACCGTTGGCGGGGTGTCGGGAGGGGAGGCCAGGAGAGAGACAGCAGGAGACAGAAGGACAGAACCAGGGAGAATGAATCCACAGAAACCTACTTGTTTCAAAAAATCAACTACCTCAGGCCTCAAGAGAGACAACGAGAGAGAAAGAGAGGGAAAGAGAGAGAAAAGAGAGAGAGCCACACAGTGAGAGAGAGAGAGACCGTGACACCAGGGGAGGCCAGGAGAGGGAGAGAAGGTCTCAGATACAGAGAGACAGAACCAGGGAGGAGAATTCCACAGAAACCTGCTTGAAATTTTTAACTACCTAGCGATCTTTAGAAAGGCAACACAGGGAGCCCTTTAGTAGTAGTAGTAGTAGTAGTAGTAGTAGTAGTAGTAGTAGTAGTAGTAGTAGTAGTAGTAGTAGTAGTAGTAGTAGTAGTAGTAGTAGTAGTAGTAGTAGTAGTAGTAGTAGTAGTAGTAGTAGTAGTAGTAGTAGTAGTAGTAGTCAGTAGTAGTAGTAGTAGTACTAGTAGTAGTAGTAGTAAAGTAGGTAGTAGTACTAGTACTAGAACTAGTACTAGTAGTACTTACTAGTACAACTATTATTATTATTACTAAAAGTACTACTAGATGTGCCACTAACTATTAATAATACCTACAACAAGAAAAAACAACAACTGCTGCTAGTAGTAGTACTAGGAATTAATAGTACTAGTACTAGTATTACTAGGACTACTACTAGTACTAGGACTAGTAGTACTTTTACTAGAAGTAGTACCAGTGCGACTAAGTTCCCAGACCATATATTATATTAGTACCCGTCGGTGCAAATCCAAGGAAATTCCTCAGCCAGAAGGAAAGTTGTGGCTGGTGCAGTACCAGCTGCCTAGACCCGAGCACGGCTGCCGCTACTTTTGGTCTATGTCCTGCTTTTGCAGGTTACAGCCGGCGGATGTGAGCAAGGCCGCAAAACGGTCATGGACCGAGATGGGCAAGAAGATCCTGGAGTCCGAGCAGCACTTTCTCTGGCCTCTGGGCAGCCAGGAGAAGTCGTCTTCGCCGGATTCCAGGGTACACCAGGTGGCGGGCTCCACTCAGATGATGCTGCTGGTGCTGTTGAGTTCTGCTGTGTCAGGAAAGACAGAGGAGCAAAGAATTTCCTCCAGAGATTATTTGCATAAGCTGCTGAAATTCCTGTCGCCTTGGGCATGCACGGTGTCGGTAGAGGGAGTGGACTTCGACTTCGCCTTGGATGCAGATGCCCTGGTCGACCTTCGGGAACTGCTTGGGTCTCAGTCATGGCGGCAATGCCTGGCAGGCAAGAGGAGCCCTTTCAAGAAGCAGTTCAAGGAAGAGAAACAAAGACTGTGCGATGTTCTGATTAGCCTTCGCCTTGTCGAAAGGCACCATGACCTGCTGCGGCAGATCCTTCTTGCCATTGCTGCTGGGGTCGAGATCGCCCTCGACTTCCTGCCAGACGCTTTTATGCAGGACAATGAGATCGACGAACAGCAATTGGAACAGGGCCTGGGCTCAAAGACCTCGAGGGACATGGCACAGAGAGTCCGCAACGTCAGGTTTCTGCGCGGCCAGGAGCAGGCTTCGAAGTCTTCGTCTTCGAAGCCTTCGAAATCGACCCCTTCGTCTTCGAAGTCGACTTCGTCTTCGAAGACCCCCCTGAAGCTGACCACTCGTCAAAAAGCCAAGCTTCGCCAGATGAAGGCCAAGGTGAAAGTGTTGGTGACGAGAAAGGACAGGCACAGGGAAAGGGCATTATACTGGCAGGCAGCCCGACGCCATCTGCAAAGCGCCAAGCGGCTCGGCGTGGCCTTCGATGCCAGTCGCGTCGGGGGGCGAAAGCGGACCACTTACATCTTGCAGCACCTGACCTCTGGGCAAGCGGCCTGGGGTCCGCCGCAGGCCTGATCTATGCTTAAAATAACTAATTCAAAGCTCCAGGTGAGAACCATCATTAGTTGTAGCCGTTATTATAAGACGTTTCCTTAGATTGACTGACTACTTAGACTACTTGAAGAAATGTCGTTGCAGGTGCACCAAGACAGTGGTTACCGCTTGGCGGGTACAACCGCAGCCCCTGACGACGCAGTCGCCTTGGATCGGGTCGCCTTGGCCTTCCTGCGTGCCTTGGCGTGGCTTAATTCATCAGGAATTGGCTTGAGTGAGTTTTTGGAAAATGCCTACCTTTCTTTGCTCTTCTCTTTCGTCTGTTTGAGTCTAACATCAGCAAATCATTTCAGGTGGCGAGCAAAGCAGAGAAGCCAGTGACAGAACGAACGACAGCGACGTCGCCTTCAAGAAATACAAAGGTCCACCTGAACGTGCTGCTGCCTACGACTCTTTGCTCGCCTTCGACCATTGTCTTCGAATCATGCATGATGATTCCGGCTTGCAGGCTTTCCTGCCAAAAGAAGGCGAAGGTCAGGAGGCAGAGGACTTGCGGCACAAACCCATTCTTTCTATCACATCGGACCACGGCTCCGAGCAAGAGTCAGCCCGATGGTTTCTTCTTTACGAACTCGGGTGTCGCGGGCTGTTTCTGTACGACGTGCGGCATCAACTGCACAGGGAGTTTGAAAATGCCACGAACCTTGCAGGCATGCGAAGCAAGATGAAAATGGCACAAGCCATACTTTCTTATTGCAGGGGGCCCTACAAAGGCGCCAAGTGGTTTCGCGTCCTCCAAGAAGAGGCCTTCGACTTCGCGAAGACCCTGGCCTTGGCTCAGGACGGCGCTGGGGAGGTCCTGCTGAAAGCCATCGCACCCCGGGTGGCCCGGGAGAAGGGCTTGAGTGCGGAAGAGTGCAGTCCGAAGGCTCTTCTCAAGATGCTTGAGGAAGCTCGCTTCCTCCGGTCGTACACCGGCAGCGGCAACTTCTCACGCTGGGACGAGTTTCACTCCGCATGGCGGAGCCGCCGAGACGAGAGCGGGCTGCTGCTGCTCATGCAGTCTTACTGCCTGCGAGCTGGCATTTTGAAAGGGTCGTCTTCGGGTGTCGACTTCGCCTTCGGTGTCGCGGAAGCGGCGGCCGCCGCCTCTGCAACGGCCAAGGCGGAGAAGGAAGGCTCCAAGACCATGAAGGAAGCCAAGGCCGCGACCACTGCCTTGTACAACAGGTGCAAGAACAAGTTCCACGTGGTCTGTCTGCTTCTCATGGACTTGGACCTCATGACCGCCTTGAACAGCTGGCATGCAATCACTTTTCCTCTGTCCAGACAGTTGAACACTTTGCGTAAAGAAGTCAGGGGAAGGCAAGGCGCTTTGGCCATGTGGCGTTCGTTCGCCTTGGGAGACTGGATTTCCGTTGTCTCTGAAATGCACGACGCCATTTTCGATGCCGATCTTCATCGTCGCCTTGGCCTTCTAACGCATGAAGATTGCGCCGGCTCCATGTTCTACAACAAGTTGAGCGAGGAGCACCCCCTTGTCAGTCAACAGGACATGCTTTTCGGCCAGCTCTGCGACATGTTCTTCTGCGCAAGCTACCAGAAGTGCCTGACCAGCATGGCCTTCTTCGACTTCCCGCACAAGCTCGTCTTGCTGACCGGCAACGACACGTCGGCCATCCAAACAGTGTGCGTGGAACTCGAAGATCAGGCAAAGGCTTTTGAGACTGCTCAAGGCATTCGAACGAAGTGGTGCAAATCTGCCTGCCAGACCTCCCCCATGCAGCACCGGCTTGTGAAAGATGTGCTCCAGGACATTCGCCAGAACAATGGCAGCGCCACACCGATGCTGCGGACGGTCATGACGGATCTCTGGTCAAACTTAGCCTTTACCTTCAACGAAGAAGGATTCCGTGCGATGCGACAGCATGAACAAGGCCAGAACTTGAGTCACGCAATGCCGTCCATAGATGGCTGGGCGAAGCTAACAGGCGACAACATCCTGGGGTCCTTCGGCTACCAAGAGATCGAGCCGGATGATGCCGAGGTAGGGGATTTGGAGAATCAATGTTCGCCCCTGAAGCATTGAACGGAAAATCCAATTCAGTAAAGTCCTCCGTAATTTGAATCAAATAGCTTCTCCTCAGTCTTTTGTTTAATAACCCCCAAAAGGTCTCAGTCGGGACAGTGCCTTCGACTTTCTTCCACACTCGAAAGCTTTCGCCTTCGACGGAGGATCTGCGGACAATCCTGAATCGCAAAACATGGCCTTCGCTTTCGCCTTTGCGTGCCTCCGCCATCCCTGCAGAGTCAGCACTCATGGTGCGGTTCCACAAGGAGGGGCGGCTGCAGGACCTCGTCCACACCTGGCGGACCCGCTTCCTCCAGCGTGGGCTGGTTGTGAAGGACAGGAGATGCCCGGACTTGGTCTTCTTCAGCCTTGGTCCCTGGCCCACCTGTGCGGCGGCCCTTTGCATTTCCGTGCAGAAAGTCGAGGCTGCGGACAAGAGTGTGTGCTACACCTTGCCAAAGCCGTTGACACGGGGGCATCTGCACTGGAAGGTTGTGGAGAAGTTTGCCGACTGGCAGGTCCTGCAAACGACGATCGTGTCGCCTTTGCACGCAGGGATTCTGCAGAAAGGCAGCGGCAACAAAAAGAAACCTGCAGAGTTGCAGGTCCCACACCTTCCTGGGATGTGGCGCGAGCGTGCCAAGAATCCTGTCGCCTTGCTGAAGCATGCTGCTGCTCATGCCTACTGGGACATCAGCAGCTTCTACGTCAAGCTGCTCCTCCAGGACTAACCGGCTTGGCTAACAATACCTTTTTGAAATTTTTGTCACACTCTCTCATTGCTTCGTAAATTAATTAATGAAACTGTCGACAGGATGAGTTCGGCTTGGCAGAGGCGGAGACGGATTGGCGCGAAGACGACTTGGGCTTCGCCTTGGAGGCCGCAGTGGAAAAGGGCATGAACTGCAGCCCGGAAGAAGTTGCCAGCATTCTGGAGCGGAACATCCACTGGCGCTGTCCATCTGCGAATGAGGAGCTCGACGAGATTCTGGCTTCAGACATACTGGACGATGTCCTCGGGAAGGATGCTCAAAAGGACGTGGAGGCTGCGCAGCGGACACGTCAAAGCCAGGCTGTCGAAGCGGCGATGCTGACCAGAGCTGTGGCGAGGATTCGCAAGCGCATTCGTTCGACTTCGGGATCGGCTTCGAAATCGGCTGCGTCTTCGTCGTCTTCGACGAGGCGCAAAAAGGTCCGATTCGAGTCCAATGCTGCCTGGAGCGTCGAGGACTTGCAGCAATTGCTGCCGCCTTTTTACAGAGGCTACAAGGATCAGTTCAACAAGTGCTGGAGAGTGTTCCAGAGGCAGCACCGATGGAGCGCCTCCAGGTCTTGGGGTCCCAGCGGAGCAGATAGCAGGTGCTGCTACAAGCTACTGCACATGAGCTGGAGACGCTACCTGCAACTGAATCCTGGCGAGACTTGCCCGTTTGAGTTTCCGCCCGAGGTCTAGCGGGAGTCGCGACTTCGCCTTCGACTCAGGCCTTCGGGGCTTCGAATCATCGCGTCTTAGTCTTCGCCTTCGAATCTGAAGGCTTGGAGGCTTCGACTCGCGTCTTAGTCTTCGCCTTGAACTGAAGGCTTCGGGGCTTCGACTCGCGTCTTACTCTTTGCCTTCGACCGATGGCTAGAGAGATTCGAGTCTTCGCCTTCAACAGACGCTTCAACTTCGACCCACTTCCTGGGTTGGTTTTGCGATGGCTCGAAGGCTGGTAAGAAGGCTGCAGCGGCAGGCGGAACCAAAACAATCGGCACTTGCACTGGGCAAACAGTCAAAGTCAAGTCCTCATCTCAGACGATCACATGATGGACCACATCGTCGTCTCATGGCCTTCGCATGGCTTCGACGACGTTCATACGGTCCATGACGTTTCGGGGTCCTATGACGCCCTCGACTCGACCACCAGAATGCCCTGGCCAACGGCGATTCGGAGACGAGGCTGCCGAGCGACATGAATCCACTCCAATGACGAACAAGTTCGAACTGTCGCGGTGGCCTTGGATATCCTCGCCTTGGTGACACCAGCACTTGCCTCCTTCTGAGATGGGGGACAAAAAAAAAACCTTAACTAATCAGCGAAAAACCACCAGCCAAAATTATTTCTTCTCCCGACAGCTACACTCAAACCCATCAGCCTTTTAAATCGTCCTGCGACTTGCTGCCGCTGTGCGCAGGAGAGCTCTTGGCCACCGACTCTCAGGGTCCCAAGATTGATTGCTCTTGGGACCCTGGGATAAACTTTTCTTCTCGGCCTTGTCAGGGCTTCGCGCACTCGGCTGCCCATTGTTATTGACATGCCTGGTCTGAGAGAACCAAGACAGACACTGACTTCTGCTAGATTTGTTCAGAACTCCCCTCCGTCCGTCCTTGGACTGCATGCAGTCCAGCACAGTACAACCACTTTTGCTAAGATCCTGTAGTCAAGCCAAGGATCCCTATTTTAATGACATTTACTCAATAGGCTTTCAGATCAGAGTTTGGTCTTTTAAAACTTCAGGGGTCAGACTCTCAGGAGTACCTTTTTCAGGTATTTCCTAATTCGTTGTGGTGAAGACGATCAGAATCAGGGATTCGTCCCCCCCCGACTCAAGGCCGATCCTGTCCTCACGTACTTCAGAACGACCACGACAAGGCACATCAGGCATCGTTTGGGCGTGACTGTTGGAAGTGTAATTTACGACCCTCAACCCTAAAGACTGAAACCTCGATTGACTCAGGGTTGTTTTAATTGTTGACAAACTAGGGCTGTTATTTGGGTTGAGCTATACAAAATTTTAGGATTGCAAAGCAATAAACAGTCGATACTGTATTCGTTCATGTCTCTTTTCAATTCCCTCACTTGCCTCTACCTTTACGTCTACTGTAGCACTCTTGGGTGTCAACGCCTATTCTACTCGTCAGTCGTGCCAAAAGCCCCTTGCGCCTCCCGCTGCTGCACAGCAAGGTCTTCGAGTGTCCATTGATGGGGAAAGGAAGGAAAGAGTTTATTATACAATGCAACTTAACTTGGAGCTCAGGCGACAATTAGTTTTCTTCCTGTCGGTCAGGTTTAGATTGTGTTATCCGTCAAGGCCGGAAGATTCTGCTTTGTTTTGATTACTTTGATTAATTAACGAAGCCTCTGATCCTAAGACATCAATATTTTATTTAAACTTGAACTTGCCCGAACCAAAGGGAACCCCAGACCGTCAACAAGTCAGATGCCCATTCCCTCGACTTCAAACCCTGATTAGACTTCAGCTGTTAAGCCCGAAAACCCCACATGTCCGAGCAACACCGAGGGCGTAGAGCACCTTCCACACTAAACACCCCAAACTTTTTCAGGAACCGTAAACCGGACAGCCTGAATTTAACATTCAAATCCAAACGATTCGCCCGATTCGGACTGCTTGACCACGTCGTCCTGCTGCTGATTCTGTCATCATGTAAGGATTATACACTTCTGGTTCCGGGGCGGAGCGGGCAGGGAATCTACAGCGTTACGGGTTTCTATCAGTGACAGCATTCCGACTACACACATTCGCAGGTTGCCAAGCCCTGGTGACAACTGGGACTTCGCCTTCGCAAGGTCCACCCAGCCTCGCTTGTATCGCGACCCTTCTCTTGTGCAAAGTCAGTGACACTCAAGACTCATGCCGTTCAGAGTGTGCATGCTCCAACGAAAAAGCAGCTTTTTCGGCTTCGATTCGCCTTCGAGCAAGCTCTCTCCCTCCATCTTCTCTCGCCTTCTTTCGCAATGGCGCCCAAGGCAGCTGGTAAGAAGACCGCGGCGGCGGCGGATGGGGCCAGCAAGAAACAGCGCCTTGCCGAGAAGAAAAGTGAGGCTGTGAGGAGGGAACAAAAACAGGTGTTGTCCAGCGACAAGGCTAACCAGGCCATCATGATGGAACAGATCGTGGAGTGGTGCGAGTCGCACCCAAGGGGATTCGAACACATCCACCGCTCGATCATGCTCGGTTCCTATGACGCCTTGGACCAGAAGAATGCCCTGACGGACGCCGATGCAGACACAAGGTTGCCGAGCTACATGAACAAGTTCCGACTCCTGACCGTCCCGGTGGCCTTGGAAATCCTCGCCTTGGTGACGCCAGCAGTTGCCTCCTTCATAGAGAAGATGCTGAAGAAGGGGCAGAAGATTTCCAAGTTCGACGTCACGGAGGTCGTCGCCTTCGTCCTCCATGTGGATCTGCGCAGCGCCTTGCCCAGCAAGCAGAAGAGCCAGCTGCTCCAGTGGTGCAAGACCAGAAGCGAGGAGTCGGACAGTCCTCTCAAGTCTTGGTCTTCGTCTTCGGAGCCGGTATGCGAGACCTGGGAGGACGGGGATGTTCTGGTCTAAATAGGTACTTAAAATACCTATATATCAGCCTTACATTAATTAATTATGTACTGGATTGTTTTTTTTGGCCGGCCTGAAGCTTCTTGCAGGACTTCGTCGCCCATCCGCTCTACAAGTACTGGAACTTTGAGCATGCCGCCGATGACGGGGACCAGTCGACGTTCGGGGTCGTGCGGTACCTGAAGACGGACATTCGCCTTCGGCTTCCGAAGGAGATCCGCGGGTTCCCGATGAAGGGCCCCCACCTCTTCTTCACGGCCTTCGTGAAGGGCTGCATCAGCATCCCCATGACCCACGTCATGGAGCACAATGGGGCCGAGGCGGGTCCTGAGAGGCCCCTCTTCTTCGAGGCGGTTCCATCAGGCTCGTCTTCGACTTCGCCTTCGAAGCCCAAGGAGGCCGAGCAGCAGCCCCCGCCGGCTACGCCGAAGAGGAAGGCTCGCTCCGACCCGAAGACTCCCGGGTCCGGGCGCTCGGGCAAGGACCCGGTGAGCCCGCCGCCTTCGTCCGGCAAGCGCAAGCGCTGAGCCGGTCGTCTTCGTGGTCCTGGTCTTCGCAAAGACAATGGCCTTCGTCTTGGATTCGCTCATGTCCTAATTCTCACCAATACTCACTGCCACGAGTCCGAGTATAATCATTATTACTTTATTAGTACCTAGTAGTACGACTAGCCGTACTAGT